AGATGTGTATAAGAGACCGACGTTAACCTTAACTTTAACGTTAGTGTCCAACATGCAGCGCGATAGCTCGGCCCATTTTGTAAACAAATCGAAATACGCATCCGCAAACCCGTAACTTACGTACGTCGAGCACGTAAAATCCTGAAATTAAGTACTCCGCAACGCAAGATGAATAAATTATGACGTCATCCGTTAAAGTTAAGGTTAACGTTGTGCATCGAAAACTCCCTAATGTACAAACTTATAAACGGCTATATCCTGTCTATACAATACGTGTTTTTGCACTGTCAAAAGTTACTAGGATTGCCTATTAATTTCATTATTGCAAGTGTACGTACCATAAGTATGTTGACATGTTATTTAATAAACAATGTATGCTAAGGTTCCTGTTCTTCCACTTGACATGTTTTAGTCAAATTGACTGCAGTTCACCCTACAATTCGAGATTTGTTTTAACTCGAGACAAGTTTTTTTGTTCCAACTTATCACCTGTCTCTTACACTAATCTCACACTCTACTGAGACGCCCCAAGTAGAGAAACTAGGGAATAAAATATCTGGGGTAATTTTCCCCTTGCAACCCCCCCCCCCAGCGCCGCCACTGAATTAAAAATTTAACTAAGCTAAATTTTAATATGAAATAATACTACACCAAAGTACATCGACCTTTCTTGACCTAACCCTTAGTCATTTGGAAACCGAGTACTGAAGCAAATTCAAAGAGAACAAAAATACATTTCTTTAAAGAAAAACACTAGTAGTTTTGGTTTTTGTTTATAGACCGTTTTAAATATCATGTGTGTCAATGAACGTAACTTTTAAAGGCACCTTCGAATACCTTTATTAAAAAATTATATATTTTTTTTCTGATCTTATTTTCAAACATCTTTATACGATTGTTTCTAATGCAAACTTATGTTGATATTAAAACTTTAAAACAAACACTATATAAATATTGCTCATGACAGGCGTGCATGCCATTTATTTATGGCCATGGCGCGGCCATTGCTAGCTCAATTAAACATCATAACATGCTATTAGTGTAGTAACCGCTGCTATTTCAGATTTGAATCCATTCCTTAAGTTGTCAACGTAAATATAGTGGTCTAAATATAAATATATATTAAAAATAAAATGCAAATTTCTTACAATGCTATTTAATTTAACGATTAATAAATTTGCTACCTGCTAAAAACAAATCTTAAAAATAAAGCCATTTTGTCTACAGCAAACTATACCAACTTAGGCAAAAAAAATGTATGATTATGAAACTGGAAATTGCAATCTCGTACCTAAATTTGATTATAAAATTTCCTTTTTTCTAAATTTCTTTTTAAAATTGTGAACAAAATTAAGGAGGAGGAGGAGGAGGGAAATGGTACTCAATCAGACTTAAAATTTTAATATTTTATCCATTAAAAAATGACAAATGTAGCGGGTTCTGTCCGGCTGGGCACCTCAACCCCCCCCCCCCCTCCACCACTGGAAAAATATGACTCATGTCCTAAAGTCGATGTCAGAGACTCAGTTCCTTTCAGTTGCGCGGAGCGCTCATGTCGACGAGTTGAGTTGAGTTGAGTTGAGTTGAGTTCCGTGTCGACCTGAGCTTGCCTTAAGAGTCGGTGGCGTTAGGAACGCGAGAGCGTTAAAACCACTAAGCATGGATAGCTCTTCTAGCTGGGTGAACTCATGGTTACACTGCCTTTTCCCCTCTTTCCTCCCTTTATTAGCTCTTTTCAGTTTTGTTCTCAATTATTTTTCTGTGGGACTGACGGGACATAGGCCCCCACATTCCCCAGCTGGATCCGCCCCTGACACACCTAATCTACTGAAACATTAGTTTACGTATAAAAGGATAAAATTTATCAACAGATTAATGAGTTACAAAATAAATCATTGCTATTAACTCTTCCTTCAAATGTACTTCTATCCCCACCCCCACTTCCTATTTTAATCCTCAATTTTGATTACTAATCTGTCAAAAATGCGAATTTGATATCTAATAATAAAATATCTTTGAGCAAAAATTCGCAAACAATACAAGGACTCATCTCTGCACAGATAATCTATTCCGTATGAGAACCCAGTCTGAACAGATCATGCTTAAAAACGATCCGTTGCGTGTGGCTTTTCATTCAACCATGGAGCAGAATTCAACATAGGTTAGGGTGCAGTAATACTTTCTTCCTCTTTTTTGGACTCTCAGCAGCATGCATAGACATTTTTATTAGGTATATCGATGACAACGTCCGGTAAATTTTTAACATTCAGATGGCGGTCTGCGTGTTAATGACATAATGGTTAAGAACTGCCTGATGAAGAATTCTGATCACTCTGTGTAATATTTGTTTCATTCTGTCAACGCCTAAAAAGATAAGAAATTAAAATAAAAGATAGGCTGTCAATATAATGACTTTTAATAAATTACTAGGTATGTAGTTTATCCGAAATCGAAGTGTCTGCGCCCGCCGCCAAAACTCTGTTTTTGAAGGTTGCGTATTATACGCGAAAACTTAAAAATCGTAGTTTTCAAACTTTCAATCAAACCTCCGATTTCCGAAATCGGAGGGTTGATTAACAGTTTTACTCTCTTTATGTATAGAGAGAGAGGTTGTTTAATTAATAGTTTTAAAATTCCGAATTTTGAATTTCCGCATAGGCCTATATAGTACGCAATCTTCAAAAATTGAAGTTTTGGCGGCGGACGCAGACACTCAAAAAATGGAGTAACTACATGCATGGAACTACTACGTAATTAAAATAGAAGATAAACTGTAAATATAATTGTTATTATTGTTTTTATTCATTATTAAAACGCGCCTGTGTTCTTTTTTCAGTGTTTGACGAATATCTGTACAAAATCGCATATCCACAAATGAACTACTAAAGACCAACTCAGACAGCGTCGGGCGACGCAGCCCGACCCGATTTATCGTCTGGGACAGTCTTAAGCCGTCGTGAGAAATATTAAACATGTTTAATATTCTACGACGCAGGAAAAAAATACTTTGTAAAAAGGAAGGCTTTAATTTTGACAAAAGTATTATATATGTATATATTAGTTACCCGTATTTTATTTGAAATGTAATATAGATTATAGATTAAAGATGGAAAAATGAATGAAAACAATTAAAAAAAAGAGTGACAATAAGGGTAGGTGACTCCCACGAAAGACAAAAAAAAAAAATTCTACGACGCGACTGCCACCGACGCACACCTTTGCGACAAGAAATCGCGTCGGGCTGCGTCGTACGACGCTGTCTGAGTTGGCCTTTAAACAATGCACACAGAACGTCAGAGCTGATAGGAATACAATTTGAGTGGCAGTATGAAACAAAGTGTAGATAAGCCAAGTGAGTTAAGAATTGAAAAATAAGTGTAGCCGCAAGAAAGCGGAGGTCTTTGTTTAAGCATAGGAATAAGGTTTGAGTATCCAGTTATGTTCAGAACAGAGGCAATGAGCATGTGGTTTAAAATTAGTACCAATGAGATCGCATTTATTAAGGTCTTGTATGGAGTGATCAGGCAGTTTAAAATGGTCGGCTGTAGGAAAGCATTTACAATGTTCTCTGATCAATTTCTTATCCTCATATCATGATCTTCAACTCGTATTCTGTAGTTATAAAATATAGTGTAGGCTCTACCTGAATCCTGGTATACCGGTACTACTTCAAGATGATGTATCTCGGCATAGCTGCTGCAGGGTCTTCGTAGGCGACTTTAACTGCGGAAGAATCATGGTATCCACTATTATCTGTTACGTCCCTGAACACACCTTCGTTGGCTGATACTGGGTTGTGATTTTGGGCAACAGCAGTAGTGGTATGTAGCGCAGTTCCCCGTCCATTTTCAGCAGGTACTTGATATCGAACTACATGAGTGCCATTTCTGAATATAAATGAAATACCAATCGTTTTAGTTCAACGCCCAAAAGTTTTCCAATAACCATGAGGCGCCAAGTACTTTTATTATTTAACAAAATTATATTCAAATAATTCATTATTTAATATATAATTCAACATTTTTTCATTATATACATATAATTAATTTTGCTTCTAACAATTGTATATACATAATTAGTGGAGCGATTTTCCTTATTAATAAATAATACGATGGTTATACAATTATTTAATTAATGATTGAGTAAAATCATTATTTATACAGTATTATGACTTTTGGCACTTAAATTTTTTATAAATAATGTTTTGCAACTTTAAATTATAAGTAATGAAAATCGCTTCACCAATGATTTATATATAATTGTTAGAGGCAAAATATATAGGCCTATATATAATGAACAAATGTTGAATTATATATACGTATATGTATATAATTTTGTAAAATAATAAAAGTATATATATATATATATATATATATAATTATATACATATGTACAAAATTATAAGGCGCCAAATGTACTTAATATACATATAATTTTCTTTAAGGTGCCAAATGTACTTATATTGTTATAATTTTATGAAATCATAAAATCATAATCGGATTGTTGTATGCCTCCGAAATCGAACATTGGGAATTTCGAACAACTTTGTAGCACACATGAAGCTGCGCCTCCCATGACGAATAACAATATTGAACATTTTTCATAGACTCTATTTTAAACCATTTTTGTTTATATCGGTGCAATTATTCCACAACTCATGGTAATAACATACTGGATTTAATTGTAAGTAGTCGAAATGTTACTACATCCGTTTCATGTGGAAATGACATTTTCGACTCTGATCACAGCTCTGTTTGCTTTACTTTTAATTTCCCAAATGTTTAATGGTCAGAATTGCAGATTAAAACAGATTGAAATTCAGCTATAAGAAAATAGATAAAACTAATTTAATTAACACACTATCTCATGTGCCATGGGATACACTCGAATTGTGCAATAATGTGGACGAAGCTGTCGATAATTTTTATACCTTTATTTCAGCTGTAGTTAGGGATGTTGTCCCAACAGTTAGACCTAGGCGCAAGACGCTCCCCCCCCCCCCTGGTTTGATGCTGAACTCCGTCGCCTCTGGCGACTAAAAGAAATATACTTTAGGGAAAAAAAGAAAAATATTACTCCAAAAAATATTGATGATTTTTCGGGGGGCCGTAAGGTATTTAAGGCTACTTCCATGAAAAATATTATTCTTATGTCAATAAATTATCAAATAACATGAGCGCTAACCCCAAGCAATTTTGGAGCTGGATCAAACCTTGCTATAAAAATAGAGATAAACCAAATATTATTCGTCATGGGGACATACTTGCATCTACACCAGGGGAGAAAGCTAAGGTTTTTAATGATTAAATAAATAAGTAAGTAAGTAAGTAAGTAAGAAAGTAAGTAAGTAAGTAATTAAGTAACAAGTAACAAAACATTAAAAATATAGTTCTAATACAGTAATATATCCCTCTCCATGGGTGCCTGCTGTATAGTCTTTCGAAATTGGGCAGCCGATGAGGATGCATATTAAATTTATTAATAGTGATAGTAATAGTATTATTAGTAATATTATTAATAGTAATAGTGATAGTAATAGTATCAATAGTAATAGTAATAATAGTGATAGTAATAGTATTAATCGTAATAGTGGTATCAATAGTATTAATAGTAATAGTAATGATAGTGATAGTAATAGAAATATAATAACGTGATAGCATTATTTACCCAAGATTTGTTGTTCTCTGACTCTGTCGGATACAACCATAAAAGCAACTTAGTATTACCGTGAGAGTGACCGAGGCAGCTATCGCTATCGTCTTTCTAGAGACCGTTTGCTCATTTGGCTCTTTCGTCGGTGGTATTATTCTTGGCTTGGGACATATTTTTGCAATATTCACATCTTTAAAAAAAAAAGAAGCAAACAATGTCATTTTCAATTGGATATTTTTTTAACTTAACATTAGATCGTTAACAATAAACATAAAATTGCATAAGTGTGTAAAACCTAAAGTATGGTAAAGTAGACAAAAATCATGCCACGTAGTTGAATCCCATTGACGTGAACCATTCTGAAGTCTTAACAACATCTGTTGACGTCAACATGAATAGTGGTTGAAATCTTAAATTTCATAAACTTTACCCAGTATTACAAGGTTTTACTACAGTATTAGAATGTAATAAAATGTCATTAATTGGTCTAAAGGAGAGCAAGAAGTTTATTTTGCGATTATTTTTGTTATCCTATATGCGATTTGAACTTAATACACTAGTTTGATGCGAGCACCCCGAAATGAGTACGAGTTAAGTACGAGCGTACCGAGTTGTTTACGATGACCAGGAACATTTGATCGGAATTCCCGTACCTAACTCGTATCTAATTCGGTACAAACTCGTTACGCTCGAAATAGAGCTCGTTGTAAACTAGGTGCTTTGCTCTGCGTAATTCGTACATAACTCGTACCCAACTCCGTAAGATCGTACCTCACTCGTAGCTGACACGTAGCTATAGCTCGTATAGAGGTCCTTTCCCAAGCGAATTAAATCACGAGTTTTTAACTCTAGAACTCGTGTGAATTTTGGATGAAACCAATCTAGGTGGAAGAGTGTTAAGTACGAGTAGGTACGAGTTCTCCCGAGATTTCGAATTGTCCGAACGAGTTTTTGCCGAGTTAGTAACTCGGCACACTCTTATAACTTGTATGGTGAAAAAACCCCTAGTGGTAGAGCATGGAGCTATAAAATTCCAATAATTGTATAGCTCCATGGAGTAGAGGAACTAGCTTGCGTGAAAGCAGGGAGATATTTAGTTTGTAGTTTGCTGTTTGTAGAACGTTATAGTCTGCATTAAAGCAGTGGAAGTTACTTAAGTGAAAAAAACAACGAAGCAAATTGTTGTACTGTATTCTTTTTTGCTGTTATATATTTGAACAAAATTTAGAAAAAAAAAACAACAAATACGGTACATGAGCAACAGAAGTAAGCATATCGAACACTAATGATTACAGGATACAATTACATGACGAGAATTCAAAAAGTAGTCCTATACTAAGGACTGTGCAACTGTTGCCAGGTAGCATCCAGTGTTGCTTGATTTATAGCTGTGTTGGCTACACGTTATACCGTATTGTGTTACTTCAACAAATATATCGAAACAGTAACAACCACACCCATGATAATGGTTATAAAATATAGGTAGCAGCTAATTCAGCTCTCAATTAAAAAGAAAAGAAAAAAAATCCTGTGCTTTTGAGTAGGCCTAATAGTTATTAGGGTTTCTCTGATCCCCTTGTGACCAAAACCTACCCGACGACTCGCAAATAATAGCGTCTACCTGAGAAGTTGCAAAGCAATCGGTGTTCTGCCCTGAGACTTGAAATTTGTTAATCAGATTCTTGATTGTAAATGTTGTACACCCTTTATACAGGTATAGGTCTTTTTTTATGATAGCTGCTTGGTTAAAAACCTTGAATTTTATATCAAATTCCACTGTGTCTAACATAATAGAGTGCACGACCACTGTCAACGCTTTGTATTCATCAAAACTGTTTATTACGGTGATGTTTCCGCCTAATTTTTCGCATTCACGCTGAGTATCAATACATGACTGTTTTGCTCCGTTCATTGGTATATATTTGAAGCAGTTTGGAGATGGATATACCACACGTGCATCGTCGTCTATAAACAAAGATGAAATTAAGAATCATTATTATATATTTCCTTGAGCTTTCGTTTTCGTTCCGTAATTTAACATTGAAAATAAAATGGAGGTGAATGTAACTTAAATTGTATTATTCACAATATTTAGATAATCTGTAATTCATACCAAAATACCAACTCTGTCCGTTTGGATCCTGATATTGCAAACCATTGGTTCCAGGGTAAATAAGGTAACATGACGTCATACCCGAACAATTGAATCCGCTGTAATAGGAAATAATATGAAACTACTGTATATAAAGAAATATAAGCATCATAACAAAGGCTCAGGGTCGGATGCTGGAGGTAGTGGTGCAGACGGTGTGATCACTACCTCATAAAATGTATTAATAAAAATACTTTTATTGTCATTGTTTATGACTTACCGGTAAGATTTTTAAGGTGTGAGAGTGCAATTTCCAGACACCATAGGCACATTCTCAAAACGTTTTTTTCACACACCACATGCGCGGATCCATACCTTGGCGCCGTTCGCCGTGGCGAGGGTCAAGGTAAGAGATAAAATATTCTTTAAAATACGGTGATTGCAGCGTCTATTGATCTGACGAATAATATAGGCCTGATTCTTTCAGAAATGCCACTTGCCTCAACCAAAGACAAATATAGATAAAATATATGCAATTGTTTTCTTGCATTGTCTAAGACCCTTGAAGGTTTTTGGCAATTTCAATTCTATTCTATTATTTTACATACGAAGACCCATCTGGAATGGAATCTTCCCAGACGCCTATGTGTCTACAAAACGAAAACCAAAGACCCATATTTTTTTTCTCCCAATCGTGATGAAATAATGCTACTAGTGCTACTGCTGCTACTACTACTACTACCACTATAACTACCACTACCACTACCACTACCACCACTACTACTACCACCACTACTACTACTACTACTACTACTACTACTACTACTACCACTACCACTACCACTACCACTACCACCACCACCACCACCAAGATATCAAAATTACTATTTTAAAAAACAATACGATTGTAAGAAAGTAATATAGAAATAAAACTCGGTTTAAAAACACAAACACGACTGAAAGGAACATAAAAAACATGTAAAGACCGTAACATTATACACATCTAGATGTGTATAAGAGACAGACTGTATACTAATTTTTTGCATACAAACGCTAAAATTTCTTACCTTCTACATTATCATTACACTCTTCACTGCTACTCACATCCTTAACTGAACTACTTTCAGGATCTACATCTGAATCCATATTTGTCATGACATCTTCCACTTCTGGGGATAATAACAAATTCTCAAGAATTTAATGAATTGATAACAAATGTATCATGATATTGTTAAAATTTTCAAACATGTTCAGAAGAATTCTAAAATATATAGAACATTGTGTTTTATAAAATATCAATTCTCGGATAAGGACTTTAAACCGAAGTCCAGTGTACGACATGGCCCACGTGCACTTAAAAGAACCCAGTACATCTTTAGAGACGAGTAGAGGGTTAACCCGGTGTGCTGGTACATACATACATTACAGTCCTTAGCTCAGTGGACTGAAGAAAGTGGCGCTCTACTGTCTACACACAAGTTTATTTTGCGATTATTTTTGTTATCCTATATGCGATTTGAACTTAATGCACTAGTTTGATGCGAGCACTCCGAAATGAGTACGAGTTAAGTACGAGCGCACCGAGTTGGTTACGATCACCAGGAACATGTGATCGGAATGCTCGTACCTAACTCGTATCTAATTCGGTACAAACTCGTTACGTTCGAAATAGAGCTCGTTGTAAACTAGGTGCTTTGCTCTGCGTAATTCGTACATAACTCGTACCCAACTCCGTAAGATCGTACCTCACTCGTAGCTGACACGTAGCTATAGCTCGTATAGAGGTCCTTTCCCAAGCGAATTAAATCACGAGTTTTTAACTCTAGAACTCGTGTGAATTTTGGATGAAACCAATCTAGGTGGAAGAGTGTTAAGTACGAGTAGGTACGAGTTCTCCCGAGATTTCGAATTGTCCGAACGAGTTTTTGCCGAGTTAGTAACTCGGCACACTCTTATAACTCGTATGGTGAAAAAACCCCTAGTGGTAGAGCATGGAGCTATAAAATTCCAATAATTGTATAGCTCCATGGAGTAGAGGAACTAGCTTGCGTGAAAGCAGGGAGATATTTAGTTTCTTGTTTGCTGTTTGTAGAACGTTATAGTCTGCATTAAAGCAGTGGAAGTTACTTAAGTGAAAAAAACAACGAAGCAAATTGTTGTACTGTATTCTTTGTTGCTGTTATATATTTGAACAAAATTTAGAAAAAAAAAAAACAAATACGGTACATGAGCAACAGAAGTAAGCATATCGAACACTAATGATTACAGGATACAATTACATGACGAGAATTCAAAAAGTAGTCCTATACTAAGGACTGTGCAACTGTTGCCAGGTAGCATCCAGTGTTGCTTGATTTATAGCTGTGTTGGCTACACGTTATACCGTATTGTGTTACTTCAACAAATATATCGAAACAGTAACAACCACACCCATGATAATGGTTATAAAATATAGGTAGCAGCTAATTCAGCTCTCAATTAAAAAGAAAAGAAAAAAAATCCTGTGCTTTTGAGTAGGCCTAATAGTTATTAGGGTTTCTCTGATCCCCTTGTGACCAAAACCTACCCGACGACTCGCAAATAATAGCGTCTACCTGAGAAGTTGCAAAGCAATCGGTGTTCTGCCCCGAGACTTGAAATTTGTTAATGAGATTCTTGATTGTAAATGTTGTACATCCCTTATACAGGTATAGGCCTATTTCTTTGATAGCTGCTTGGTTAAAAACCTTGAATTTTATATCAAATTCCACTGTGTCTAACATAATAGAGTGCACCATCCCTGTCAACGCTTCGTATTCCGCAAAACTGTTTATTACGGTGATGTTTCCGCCTACTTTTTCGCATTCACGCTGAGTATCAATACATGACTGCTTTGCTCCGTTCATTGGTATAAATTTGAAGCAGTTTGGAGATGGATATACCGCACGTGCATCGTCTATAAACAATAAGATGAAATTAAGAATCATTATTATATATTTCCTTGAGCTTTCGTTTTCGTTCCATATTTTACATTGAAAATAAAATAGAGGTAAATGAAAATTGTATTATTCACAATATTGAGATAATCTGTAATTCTTACCAAAGACCGAAATGTCTCCGTTTGGATGTTGATATTCCAAACCATTACTTCCGGGGTAAATAAGGTAACATGACGTCATACCCGAACAATTGAATCCGCTGTAATAGGAAATATTATGAAACTACTGTATATAAAGAAATATAAGCATCATAACAAAGGCTCAGGGTCGGATGCTGGAGGTAGTGGTGCAGACGGTGTGATCGCTACCCCATAAAAGGTATTAATAAAAATAATTTTATTGTCATTGTTTATGACTTACCGGTAAGATTTTTAAGGTGTGAGAGTGCAATTTCCAGACATCTATAGGCTCATTCTCAAAACGTTTTTTCACACCAAAAGACAAAATATAGATAAAATATATGCAATTGTTTTCTTGCATTGTCTAAGACCCTTGAAGGTTTTTGGCAATTTCAATTCTATTCTATTATTTTACATACGAGGACCCATCTGGAATGGAATCTTCACAGACGCCTATGTGTCTACAAAACGAAAACCAAAGACCCAAAAAGCGAAGACCCATATTTTGTTTTCTCCCAATCGTGATGAAATAATGCTACTAGTGCTACTGCTGCTACTACTACTACTACTACCACTATAACTACCACTACCACTACCCCACTACCACTACCCCACTACCACCACCACTACCCCACTACCACCACTACCACTACTACTACTACTACTCCTACTACTACTACTACTACTACTACTACTACTACTACTACTACTACTACTACTACTACTACTACTACTACTACTACTACTACTATTACTACTACTACTACTACCACTACCCCACTACCACTAACACTACTACCACTACCAATACCAATACCACTACCACTACCACTACTACTACTACTACTACCACTACCACTACTACTACTACTCTACTACTGCTACTGCCACTGCTACTGCTGCTTCTACTACTACACTACTGAACTATTAAACTACAAATTGCAAAACTATTATTTTATTTTATTTTATTTATTTATTTCCAAACCAACAGCGAAAAATCACCACTTACAGGATGGATATAAAAAATATAGTATAAACTTTAAAAATACGGAAAAACAAGCAGGACAATCAAAAGCACATTCTAAACTAACAACAACCCCACCAAGAACAAAGAATCAAGAAACAAAACACAGTTACAAGGGCAGCTTAAAACTAGACACTTTTTAACACGAGAGATCAGAATAGTTTAAAAATGTTAAAAAAGATATAAAAATTACTATTTTCAAAAACAATACGATTGTAAGAAGGTAATATAGAAATAAAACTCGGTTTAAAAACACAAACACGACTGAAAGGAACATCAAAAACATGCAAAGACCGTAACACTCGACAATTAATATGAAGACCGAACAGACGAACAAAATTAGAACTATAAGTGTGAATTAACACATTAAATTAAACAAAAATAACATATCAAACAGAAAATATCTATCAGTAGGCGGCAAGAGACCACCGGACTACCCAAAATAGTTGACAAAGAATCTTAAAATAAATTTTGTCAATACGATTTAATTGAGAATTGAATGCCGAACTAATAATAACGCAACACTACTCCAAATGTGAGGAAACTAAGGTACGATACGGTGATATGAAAGCTTTAGGACAAACATGTATAAGTGTAATTTTGCCCTACCTGACGTGGAAATGTAGTGAAAATGGCTGCTGTACGCTTCTTGTGGCTCTGCAAGTTTTTAATCTTTATACTTGGCTTTTGTGGATCTGTGCAATATCATAGTTTAAAAAATCATCCTGACGTAATTTTTAACAGACGTAGATACAACATTAACGACGATTTTATTCCGATTTCGAATTTTTATCTGAAAATATGTACAACAAACCTAGGCCAGCTGTGTGAGTCTCTAAGCAGAGAATTAGCATCTTGTACCAGGGACTGCAGCTTGACCAGCTACTCACATATGCAGCCAAGAGATGCGTTTACTTGGAGCTTAGAAAATTTAGAATTGTTTTGCATATATTTTCAAGCTTTCAATGGATATAAAGGGAATTTGAACTACAAAGCAATTAAATATAGCGGCAGAAGCGCCCCATATTATTCCAACTGCTCGTGTTCGCCAAGTTTTCACATGGACTAAATCTGATTGTGGCGATATAGAAAAAAACCCTGGTCCAGAAAAGGACGATCAGCGAACTCGGGGTAGGTCCACGACAGGTAATAATGAGACTCCATCCCTTTATTATCAGAATGTCAGAAGTATCAAGAATAAGTTTGATACCTACCACTATGATTTATATGCTCATCTCATTAAACTCAACTCTGACTTTGTAGCCTTAAGCGAAACATGGCTAAATAGTCATGTGTTGGATAGTGAACTAACCTGCCCAGGCTTTACAATGTATCGTAAAGACCGTGGTGGAAACAAACGCGGAGGAGGAGTGTTATTGCTTACGTCAAACTCATATAAAACCTGAAGACTTGTTCACCTTGAGAAGGATGACATCGAATTGATGTGGGTTGAAGTCAAAATATCTAAAACCTTGGAAATGAGTCTGTCGACAACCTTGCCATTGCTGTTGAAGCTTCGCTTGCCAATAGTCCGAACCATGAACTAGTCCTCATTGGTGATTTTAATTTTCCCAGCATCCAGTGGCATGAAGATAGAAGTTTCTCTCAGCTTGCCAACATCGATGAACGATTTATAGACTCTGTCATCCATGGTCAAAATTTACATCAGTGCAATACTCAAGTTACGTGTAATGACCATATTTTTCATTTGCAAACGACCTGACTTTGTGTGCAATATAACGACTGGTAGCAACATATTTATATCTGACCACGAATCCATTTCTTTAAATTAAGATTTTCTTAGTGTAATTATTCTAATTTTAATTCACGTAAATTGTATAATTTTATAAGAGTCGATACAAATGATCTAATTCAGCTGTTTAATCACATTCCATGGCATGTTATAGAAACTGATGACTCTTTAGATAGCAATATTTCAGCCTTTTATGATCTAGTTGATGCTGCTATTAATGATGTAGTGCCAACGGTGCATCCTCGAAGAAAATTACCTCCTTGGTTCGACCATGAGCTATACAGAGCTCTTAGAGATAAAGAGCGTTACTTTAGACTTAAGAAATCAAATAACTCTGCAACTGCTTATAGTCTATTTTCATCTGCTCGCAAACGTTTCAAGAAACTCATGAGAGAAAAATATAAAGCATACATGAACTCCCTTTCAGATAATCTACGGGAAAATCCTAAAAGATTCTGGTCGTGTGTAAAGTTAAAAACTAAGAGCTCTTGGCTTCCGGCTAGGTTGGTACTGGATCATAGATCAGCAGAATCTGATATTGATAAAGCCAACTTGTTTAATAGTTTTTTTCATTCCATTTTTAGACAAAGACCGTCAGAGACTGTCAATGATGGTGATTTTCTTGAATCCTGTATTGGACTTATCAGTGACAATTCACATTCAAACGGAAGAAGTTTGCAATCTACTCAAGTCAATAAATACTCAAAAAGCTTCTGGCAGTGATAATCTTAGTAATTTTGTTTTAAAGACTTGTGCCGATCCACTTTCTGTTCCTATCTGTTATCTATTTAATAAGTCAATTCAATCTGGTTACTTTCCCAAATTATGGAAATCTTCTAACATTGTAACAATTCACAAAGGGGGCTCCAAATCCAATATTAATAATTACCGACCTGTTTCAATACTTCCCACTATTTCTAAAATTTTTGAGCGTATTGTCTTTAACCGTGTTTGGGCTCACGTTTCACCAGCTTTATCAACTTTCCAGCATGGTTTTGTACCTAACAGATCCTGTGAAACTAATCTAGCCAGCCTAATGAAAACAGCCTATAAGGCATTTGATGACAAAAAACAGTGACACCATTTATACCGATTTTAGTAAAGCATTCGATTCTGTTCCCCATAATCTTCTTCCTTTAAAATTAAAATCTTTTGGTATTTCAAGTAATTTATTTTCCTGGTTTTCTAGTTACGTTGACGATAGGCAACAGCGTGTAGTTATTAACGGTAGTTCATCTGACTTTCTTCCGGCAACTTCGGGTGTGCCACAGGGGTCCATCTTGGGCCCTTTACTATTTATTTTATGTGTAAATGATATCCCTTTACTATTGAGATCATCACAATGTTTAATGTATGCCGATGATTTAAAAATTTATAAAATT